TGTTAAATATATGCACATGCAATATAAAAATAAGAAAGAAGTTTTATTGTATCTGTCTATTTTTATATGTTTGAAATATTGTATCGATATAATAACAAGTTTTAGAAAATATTAAAATTAAGGGGGAAATGATGGTCTTCCAGAGTAATCAATAAAATAGCTCTGGACTTCAGGTATCACCCTTGACACTTTAGCTCTCCCTCATTCATAACCACTCAATAACTCAGTAATTTCTCTGAAGGAAGTCTACTCAATACCCTGGAAAAAGGATAATAAATCGTGCAGTAGAAGATAACAAATACTATAGTAAGGGATAAATCTCAAAATGTAGAAGAGATTAAGCAGAATAAAAGCTTATGCCTTCTCTGTAGCAGTGCCTGCGAGGACCCTGGGTGTGGGTGGCTCCTTTCACCATGAGGCTCCAGTGTCCCATTCAGCCTCTGATCCAGTCCATCCAGCTCACACAAGGGAAAAACAGGTGTGGATAAAGCCCACATTCTATTATTTCCCTTTTTACCTTGCCTTGGCATCTAGACCCTTTATCTCTATGTTCACTGATTGTTTAGATTGCTGTAAACTCTTTGGAGCTCTTTAGTTCTTTACAGCTGCCTAATTAAACTCCTGCTCTCACCACATTTTCCTGTTCCCTTACTTCTCTCTGTCTATCCAGTCTCACTTCAAGGCAAACTGTCATTATTCCTCCATGCAGAGACCTTTTATCAACTATCATCTATCTATCTATTCATCTTCTATCTATCTATCATCATTATTATCATCATCATCATCTGTCTTCCTATTTACTTATATGAATAATATCATAAATGCCCTTGGACCAGTGGTCCCAAACCTTTTTGGCACCAAGGATCGTTTTCATGGAAGACAACTTTTCAACGAAATGGGATGGGGAAATGGTTTTGGGATGATTCAAACACATTACATTCAAGCTCATGTCTTGCTGTGTGGCCCACTTCCTAACAGGCCTGGACCAGTACTGGTCCACCACCTGGCTGGTGGGGATCTGTGCCCAAGACCCAGCATGCAACCTGAAAGTTGACTCCTTAATAATAACTTACATCTAACTACACTCTCTTTCCTTAGTTGCATTGTCCTAACTCTCCCCTCTTGAATTTCCTTTTATTCTGAATTCTATGCTCCTCTTGCCTTGACTTTGTTTTTCATGCAATTTTTCATTTATACCTATTCTAAGAAAATTTCTTTTTTTGGTTACTTTAGCTGTTTATAACCTTATAAAAGGGCATCCACAACAATCTTTTTTAGCACTTACACTTTAAAATTCTGCTGTTACATTGGTAAGATTCAGTCAAATTGCCACATATGTCTGTGGGCCATTTGGGAAAAGAGATTTTTCTTCTGGCTGGAGCACTCACCCAATTACCAAGGACATCATGTGGCTGAGACTCAGTGAAGGGGCAATGGGGCCCACATCTAAAGTTATATCTGTGATGCCTTTTGTATTTGTCCCCACCAACAGAGGTTAATAGCAAGTACAGCACCTGCCCCCTAGAAGGAGAAGCACTCTTGAGGAATCAGATCCCACCTCAGGAATAGAAGTTTGGGTCACCTCAGCAGGAGAAGCCCAAGTGGTAGCTGTTGAGCAGCTCCCCTCAGAGCATCAGATATGTGGTCATTCCTCTTCTGAGCTCCTAGGTTCTGGTACCACCGCCTTTTTCTTTTGTAATTAGGGGAGGCACCTCCTTCCAGCAGTTAGTGAGTTCTCGGTTACCTTGATATCCATCTTTTCCATCCTTTAGTCTCTTTCAGGACACACCTATGTATCTACTTCCCTGTTTTATATCTTCTTGTTTTAAGCATACCAGATGTGACTTGTGTTTCTTGAATAGACCTTCAGTGACCCAAACAGACATACTAGCTATTTAGTCTTTTTCATACCTGGTCAATCTCTGGACATTGGTACATGAAGAAATTTCAATGATGGTGTCAAAATTACTCCAGGACAGAACCAAAGGGAGAGGGCTGAGACAATGACTTTACATATAGGAGCAATGATTTTTATTTGCATTTAAAGGTATAAACATGCATATTGATTCTTACAATTACTGTAGAAAATACAGTAGGGGGGTCAGCTTCCTGTGTTGAAATTAAAACAGAGATATAATGTCAGATCGACAGAGTAGTTTATTGGTATGAAGTCTTTCTAAGAGTTTATATTCCCATTTTTCTTGTATAGCATCCTCTTGGCACTTAATATTTTACTGTGGAAAGTATTTGAAATATCTCAAACTATTTGAGTTTAAGTACAACAGGAAACTAGCTTTGTTGCATTCATTATTTAAACATAATATTGCAGGATTCACTTATTAATTTAATACAAATGCATTAAATAGTTATTATATAAGGGGAGACCCCCAAAATGCGGAATTATCTTCTGGAGGGTGGACCCTTTGTAGTACAGGCTTCTCATGCTAGGTGAGTTTTCTAGGAACCCATCTGTGTCAGTGTACCAGTTGTGAGAAGCGGTGTTCAGCCCCAGTGCATTTTTTGAAGGGTCTTTCAATAGGGTTGCCCATTTCCTCTAGGGTGATTTATGAGTGCACCTGCCCATACTGCACTGCATGTTTTTTACCAAAAACTCCAAACAGCATGAGCCATGTGTCCCACTCTCACTATACACCCAATCTCTCCCTGAGCAACTTTTTTTTGTTTGTTTCTCTGGATGAAAATGTCCTCAAAGGAAAATGCTTTGTCACTGTGTAAGAGGTGAAGAAAAAAATGGCAGAAGCACTAGAAGGCATCAGAATGAACAAATTGAAGACTTTTGAGTATGGAAAAAATATCTCAATAAATTTCATTTTCTGGGCCCACCCTCATAAGTTAGCCCCAAGTGCTGAAGCTACAGGAGAACAAAACAGATGTTCAGTTTCATATTTTCATGGGGAGAGAAAGACCATATGTTTATGTAACATTTTTAATAGCCAGCTTGACAATTCCCTCCAAGCTTTAGTAATGCATTCACACACAGATTCATATGCATTTGTAATCAAATTGCTCTTGGTTAAAAAGAGGATAATTGGTATAGTTCTCATCCTTGGTAATTTAGAGGCTCAGAAAGCATTAAAAGGTGAATAACATCATCTTCTAACAATCATGGACTATTCTTTGAAATGTGAGTCATCTGTAGAAGGTAATAATTTAATGTTTTTACTGGTAGTTAAAATAGTACATAATGAAACAACTTGCACTCTGTTCTTATATAAACTCAATCCATCTCTTTGAAGTGTTATTCTCTTTGAAAGTATGACATTTAAGGATGATCATTTATATTTTATTAATATTTTGAGAAAGCTTTACAATTTTTTCATGAATAGAATGAAATCATTGTTACTGGAGTTCTTCAGTGAGTATTTACTGACCTGCTGGGTTAACCACCTCTGTTTTGGGGATATCACCTACAGAATCAGTGTAGGTCACCCAGAAGAAAAGCCTCACCTAGCCTGGGCCGATCTGAAGAAACATAGTCACATCATCTATTTTTTATTGTTTTTCAAGTACAGTTTCCTGCCTTTTCCCCTCCCCCCTTCCCATCCCCAGCCCTCCCCACCTCCCTCCATTTTTAATACTTCCCCTTTTCTTCATGTATTATTTGACACCCAAATTTTCATCACTGTAGCTTTATTTTATTTTGTAGTTAATCAAATTAGTGCTAATAAAATATTAATTACATTAAAACAATTATTACTTGAAAATGCAATAACTATTGATGAGTGCCATTTTAGAAAGATTTTTAGGGAAAGTATTATGCTCTTTGGAAACAGTCTAGTTTAATCCACAATAGAGCATTGATGCAGACTCCAGCCCTCCTGAGTCCGTGTGTTGTGGATGCGATACACAAATTCACACAGACTCCTGAGTCCTGTGGAGAAAAAGAGATGGCACAGATGCTCTCTCAAGAGGAGAGTGCCCCAACCCTTTCCTGGACAGGCTTTTATTGGTTTCCAATTACATTACATCAAAGAAGGCTCTCGTTATCTCCAGATTTAGTTGTGATTACTTCATACATATAACAAAAAAGAAGGCAAAGTTGCAAATGCAAGAGAATGATAAAAATGATTGATTTCATTACATCTCATCCTTGGGACATCTTAGCACAGACTTTAGGGAGTTGCTTCAGAGATATACGTTAAACATTTGCAGTCTTAACTCAGGGTGAGGGAGTTTTAGCAAAAGCAAGTCTCATAGCATCCTAGGTACAATGCAGGCCTGATTCTCCATGGGAAAGCTGATCAGCACACCTGACTCCTGTCTGCCACCTCGCATTGATTGGCTTTCTGGATCAGGACTGTTCTACTCTTGTCATTGCCATGCTGATCAGTTCCCTATAGAGCATGAACAAAAATATCTGCCAGGTCAGCTTATTTAAAGATTTTATGGGTGGGTACATAATATCTGGTATGATTATGTCTGATCATTATCACATTACATTTCAGAGACTGATATTTTCATTTGTACCTCCCACTTTCCACCAGGAGTTATTGGATACACTTTATATGACCAAAATTGTGAAAGATACAGTGATGTGTTAAGCCCTGCCCTCAGCAGATAATAAGCCTAGTGGAGATGATTAACCATCATGCCTTGACAAAAATTGACATTTGATTAGTGATTTATATCCTTCAAAGAAAGAAGTCTTTTACTCACATCCTGTGACAGTGGCAGGCAGAAATTATTTTCATAACTGTGGATGTGGAAGCAGAGCTTCAGACCTTTTCCAGTTTCTTCTGAGAGTCAGTACAATAGCTGAGACATGAACCCAATATTGTGTGCTGCCACTCTGCTGAAGGACAATGTGGACAAAGTGACAATTTCAATAAGATGAATCACAAACTTAAAAATATCTCAGAAAAACAGATTTTAGCTGGAAAGAGTGGATGTGGCTCCTTGAAAGGGGAGGACATTGGGAATAGATTACCATGTTCATTTTAACTGGTGACTGAGGTCTCCAATGGATGAACTCACATTGCTTACATGGAGATTCTCTTGCTGAAGAGTTTTTCCAGGGCAGCCTTCATGTCCCGGTTTCTCAGACTATAGATGAAAGGATTTAACATTGGGGTCACTGCGATGTACATCACAGTTATCACAGCATCTTTTAAGCTGTAACTGGTCAGGGGGCGGAAGTACATGCCCATGACTGTCCCATAATACAAAGAAACCACTGTGAGGTGGGAGCCACAGGTAGAGAAGGCTCTGAGCACACCCTTGGTGGATGGGACACGTAAGACTGTGGAGAAGACCTTTACATAGGAGATGATGATACATAGCAATGGCACAGAGAAAACAGCAACCCCGAGATACATCATCTTCACATTAAAGTGGATGTCAGAACAGGACAGCTTGAGCAAAGGGGTAATGTCACAGTAGAAACTGGCCACTTCCTGGTTGCCACAGAAGGATAGACTAGCTGTGAGCAGAGTGTGGGGGAGGGCGTTGACATTTCCAACCACCCAGGACCCAACAACTAGCAGGACACAAGTTCGTGGGCTCATAATTGTTATGTAATGAAGTGGGCGGCTGATGGCCACTGCACGGTCATATGCCATCGCAGCCAGGATATAGCTATCTGTGTTACCCAAGGCAATCATGAAATACATCTGTGTCAGACAGCCCCTAAAGGAAATGGCTTTGGTGCCCAAGAGATGGTTGGCTAGCATCTTAGGGATGGTTACAGAAGAAAAGAAGATGTCAACAAAGGAGAGGTTAGCAAGGAGAAAATACATGGGGTTGTGAAGTCTAGTGTCGGAGCGAATGGCCAAGATGATAAACAGGTTTCCAATCAGTGTGATGGGGTAAATGAAGAGAAAGAGGATGAAGAAGAAATCTTCCTGTTCCTGCTTCCTGCTGACTCCCAGGAGGATAAACTCCAGGGCAGAGGACCTGTTATCTTCTCTCATGGCTCTTTTAATTAGAAAGAGAAGAGGAATCCAGAATTACTGGTGAAGTTACTGTGTGTTATGATTTTCTTTATCCATCAGTTTTGATTCAAGTGACAAGTCGGCTCATCTCTACAGGTGAGTTTAGTAAACCTGGAGAGAGCCAAGACTTTGGGGAAATATTCTTGTTGATCAGTGGGACTAATTGACAGTTAGGCCTGGACACTCATGTCTAAGAAGTGAGTAATCTTTGAATCAGAAGTGCCCATACTTCCCAATTTCAGTACCACCACAAAAACACCTAGGATTTAATCAATTAACAAGTACTTTATTTTCATATTGCATGCACTGGATACTTTGTTAGGTACATGGAAAAATTAAAAATATGTGAAAAATGCAATTTATTAATCTTTTTATTTAACCTGTAAGGCATAGTCTGTGCTCTCAGGGACCTTACAACTTAACAGAAAATCAGAATGAAGTGCTAATTTTATTACATATGATTTGGAAATGATAGCATTTTGGAGTTTTTGATAAAATAGTCTAGTGTAAAAGGTGTATTAGTACAAGGACCAGCTTGGATATTAATAATTGTTCCAATGACCAAAGTCATAATGATGCCAGAGCCCAGGAAGTAACAGGCATGTACACTGCCATCAAAAGACTTTTAATCACAAAGACCAGTGGACTGAAGTCTTAGCCAAAATGAGCCTAGTGAATTTCCTCCCTAAGATTCCCATTTTCAAATAAGACTTTCACCCCCTCCTTGATAGTTTTTACCTCTTTGGAAACTCTCTAATATAGAGCATTTCAAAGCTTTTCTCTTCACCCTTCTGTTTTCTTTCTTTATTATTCCTTTTGATGGTCATCCAAGTCAATAGCCACTTCCAGAACTGCAGAGTAAACTCTCAGGTCTGTATCTGTAGCCTCGATAATCTCTTTCCTGTATTTCTGTGTTCGGCCACCCTGTCAACATGTCTGTTCAGACTTCCTACTTTGCACATCCAACATAAGTAGTTTGTAGGCTTTGTTTTTTTTAAAGTACAACCATACTTTGTTCATTTTAATCACCCCCAGAGAAGTTATTGTGAAATATTGTTCATTTTATTAACAAATAAGTTTGCACTCAATATTTCTAGAATTAAAGTAAGGTTTATTGTTTTGTTCTCTTCTCCCTGGATGCACAATCAGACTAGATTTCCCAGGCTCCCTTGCACTGAGGTGTGTGACTGAGTTTTAGTCTACCAGTTCATCCATGTGTTTTCTTTCTAGGCTTCCTGTGAGCTAGACACAACTGTCCCAGAGGCTGAACAGCGTAATAGAGTCACATGGTGAAATGAGCTGGTACCCCTAGATCTCCACATCCAGTGGAGCCACCCACCACCAAGGATACCCACTGGCACTGTTACATAGGAGACACATAATATCTTATTCTGTTCAAACGATTACACATTTTGAGATCTATTTATACTGCAGTATTTATTATCCTGTGTTCATTATTATCCTCTTTTTAGGGTATCCTGAATAATTCACTAATTTTTCCCAAAAGAATTCTACTCAATAATTAATTCAATACATAATTGATTCAATCACTAATTCTCAATATCTCCTATAGTGCTTGTGTGAATCATATGCTAAGCACAGGGGATGCAGATCTAAGTATGTTTCCCCAAACATGATATCCTTTCCTGTTTCTGAACCTAAAAGTATTTAGACTTCTTTCTTAAAGTGCCTTTTCTTGTCCTTGCATGGAATCATAATATCTTACTTAGGGTTGAGAGGGTTCAATAAAGCAAAAGGGATCAGACATTATGCTTAGTTCATCTGGTGTGGAAGTGTACTATTTTAGAGGTGTGATCCTTGGCAATATAACAGACTAAGCTGATGTTGACAAATCCTGTTCCAATTTAAACACACAGAAATTCTAGATAAATTTAAAAAATAATAAAATATATCTAGCCAAACCTACAACTAAGAATTGGGAATGCAATTATAAGACAGAGATGACGATGCCATGGCCCCTTGAGATTTCCAACTAGGAACAAGGCCCTAAAGGAAGGGGTCTGGTTTGTAATTTCCCTTTGGTTCAAGAGATGTGGCCACAGATCTGTATGAAGTAGAGAGCTAATTTGAGTCTTTTGTGTACAACAGGTGAAGTCTTGCTCAGTTTATGAAATAACACTAGAATGTTTGGGTATAAAAAGAGAAATGGAAAGAAAAGAATGAAAGAATAATACAATTGTCTACAAAGAAAACCCAAGAAAATCTAAATCAATCATAAATTCCCAAGGGAATCTCTAGAAGTATCAGCAAGTTTGTCTGATACAGATCAATATTTAAAACAGTCAATACTGTTCTTATACTTAAGTAATAGCAAATTAGAAAATATAATTTTAAAAAAGACTCCTCATTCACAATGGCAATAGAAAATATTAAGGAATCTAGAAATAATTCTAACAAAAGAGGTCCAACTGGTTTCAAAAATTACAAAACTTGACTGAAGGACAAAAAAAAGATTACCTAAAAAATGAAGAGGTAAACGATGTTAATGGTGAGACTCAGGGTGGTAAAATTATCTGTGTCTTCCAAATAATGTATGAATTTTATGTAACCCTAATCAACAGATTTCTTTTAAACCTGGAATTAAAAAAATAACAACAAAAACAAAACAAAAAACCCTGGAATTTATCATGCAAAGAATGAGGAAACATAAAGAGCTAAGATGATTTGAAGATAGAGAATAAAAAGAAAGAAATGATCTCATTAGATATCAGTATGATTTACTATGGTAATTCAAACAGTGGAGTAGTACTGATGTCAGAAATGAAGAATATACCTACTGACAGACTAGAGAGTTCAGACACAGATGAAGCATTTACTAGCTGAGAGTATATGACATGTGTTGGTTTGAAATGAGCAGGGAAAGAATGGAGTGGCCATAGTAAACAGTGTTGGAACAATAGAATACCCATGTACAAGAAATAATTCCTAAAGAATAATTGTGAAAAGCAAAGCTTCAAACAATTTAAAGGAGCATACCATAAGCATGTCAAATCAACACACTGTACTACTTAAACTTATACAATGTTCTATAAAAACTATATCCACAACACTGAAGAATTTTTAGAGGAAAATGTGTTTATGATATGAGGAAAGTAATTAATTTTTAAGCTAGCATGAAACACACAAAATATAATAAAAATGTCTTACATTTTGACTATTTTAAATTTAAAGTATTTGTATGAAAAAGACACTATAAAGGAAGGAGAAAGACTAGTCATAGGCAGGAAAGAATTGCTTGCTACACATGTAATCAACAAAGCATTAGTATTCAGAATACATATGTATCTCACACACGGATAACAGGAGGACCGAAAATACAGAAGGAAATAAAGGGCACAAGGTTAGAATAGACAAGTCATAGGAGAGGACAAAGGCATGGCCAATAAACAAAAGAAAAGATGTTAACTTAAAACAAAGTTTAATAAAGAATAGTGGAGAAAACACACAGAATGGGAAATCAGCCTGGAAAAGAAGTTTGTAGTCTTGTGAAAATTTTTTAGTTCAGCATGATTCATAAAATATTAAAACTTAATATAGCTGATATAAATTCAACTACCTATTTTTTTGGTGACAGAAATAAGCAACTTTTGTTTAATGCAAACATAGGTATTTGGATGTATGAAATGACTGATGAATAAAGCAACATTTGCATGCAATCTGGTGCAAGGACAACGGCAAGTTGATTTTAAAAAGAGTTAATAATGTAAGAATAAGCTGCACCAGGTGAGAAGTGAATGGTATAATTCATGTGCAAACTAAAAACATGGGGAACCAGAGCAGAGAAGTTTCTGAGCACAAGACTTCACTATCTGCAGTGTTAGGGGCTAAGGTGTCACCACAAGAGAGATGACTTCTGCTGAAACATTGAGGAGAGTAGTAAAAGAACCATATGCTACAGGGAGAAGAGCCAGGAAATGCTTCTGCATGAATGCTAGACATGGTGGGAGCCTTGAGTTCACTGGAATTAACAAGAGTTCCAGGCAATGGTGAGCCACTAAAATCCTTGTTCCTGGAAAGCGTTTGTGCTCTAAGTGTGACAAGGCTGAGGACAGTTTTTCAGGGACATAAGAGGCCAAATACTTCCCCTTGACATCGTGAGCAGCAGACAACATCAAAGAAATGTAATCCGAGTGCTTTGACACATCAGTACTTTGATAATAAGATAAACATAATTTTCTGAAAGGATCTGTTAGTATGCATTGTTGAATGTGGGAGTGGGAGGACCATGTGGTTTTGCAGCTCCTCTCTAAGACCAGCAGGCTTATACTAGTGCACACGCAGAAGCACACACACATGCACACACACCATTTCTTTAAGAGGTGGAGAGCTCAGAACTGAGATCACCAAATCAAAACCACCCCTTCCTTAATCTGTTCTTATGAGTAAGGGTCTCAAAATAGCAACTGTTCATTGTTATAAGGGGAGCTCTCTCTCTCCCCCCCCCACCTTCTCTCTCGGTTTTGATCATCCAATTGTGAGACCTCTCGGGTTCTGGAATCAAGGTCTGAGTCCTAGTGTTGCCAGTCCTTCTCTGTGTGACCTGAAGCAATTCAATTCACCATTTTTTAATCTTTTAAAATGGCAAAATAATTCAAAATAATTCTACTTACCTCCTAGGGTTTGTGAGGTGGAAGGAGATAATGTATGCCTGTAGTTGCCGGCTACCTGTCCCTTGATATCACTGTCTTAGAGTCTTTGTTCTTCAGGGTCCACAGCCCCTGCAGGAGGAGTCAGCCCAGATGCTGTCAAAAATCGTCCTGGTCCTGCCTCTACTTCTCTTCCACAAATGGGAAACTTACAGTCAGCTGTCTAGCACCTGTTAGCATTCCTCCTGGGTGGAAGGCACGCTGAAGGAAGTTCCAGTAGTAGGCTTGTAGGATGGGTCCTTTGATCCTATGGCAAAGAAAATAAGATTAGGATGGTTTAGAAACAAGAACCCCACATTTCCCAACCGCACA